AGCCCCCTCTTCAGGAGGTTTTCAAGGGAAGGGGCCTCTGCGACCACACTGGCCCCCTTTCCCGGAGCTGAGACTGGACCCACCGCTGCAGAGGGCCCCAGAGACAAGTGGGGGGAGGGAGGGGGCGGGGCGGGGCGGCGGGGGGCGGGCCCCACCAGATTCACACGTCGTCGGGGGGGCCCCACATCCCGGAGCTCCTTGGAAGGGAGCCCCCTCTTCAGGAGGTTTTCAAGGGAAGGGGGCCCAGCTCAAGGCATGTGGGTCCTCTTGGAAGAACTGAGATCAGGGACGGTCCAGTCCGCCCGGCAGGCTCCAAGGAGAAGCAGAAAAGAGCAGGCTAATAGGAGAAACCGAGGTACCGAAAACAACCCCACGGGTCAAAATATCGTGGAGGAATTTAGACTCCTTTTAACTATATGGTAAGAAACTTAGAGTAAAACTTAGAGTAAAATCTGTAGCCACAGCTAACTCATGTTTCCGGGAAACTCAGAACCTTCCATACAAAGGCAAAAAGGCGAAACTGGCCTCCCACCGACATCTGGGGAGGCCCACCCTACCCAACAGCAGGAAGGGAGGCAGGAAGGGGTGGGGGGCCGTCCATCGGTGTGTTTCACTTGATCTGCGTTTTCTGCTCCCCACTCTGTCTCTGGGGAGTCCTCGCACCTCTCACTTGTATCCCAGATCTTGTATGCATAAATAAATAATTTTTAAAAAAGCAGACAAGAAAATGTGAGACGTTCTGGAGATCAAACTCCTGCTGAAACGGCGTGGCCAGCTTCACAGTGCTGTGCTTAAGCCACTGCACCACCAGGGAGGGCCCAATAAATCTTTTTATTTTATTTATTTATTTAAGATTTTTATTTATTTGTACATACAGAGCTGGGGTGCAGGCCAGAGGCGCAGGGGCGGTGAGAGGCTTCACTAGAGACAGAGTGGGGAGCAGAGCAGGCAGATGGACGAAGCACACTGTTGAGGGGAGCAGCGGGCGGGTCAGGAGAGGTCTGTTGGGCCCTGTGGGTCACTTCCGGGGTGGGGATCGAACCAGCACTGAAGCGGCTGTGGCTGGCTTGCAGTGCTGCGCTCTAACCCCCTGGGCCACCAGGGAGGGCCCTAAATAAATCTTTTTTAAAAAGAGACACTCTATGACAGGTAAAGGCCTCCAGTGACATGCCCCAGCTTCCCAGGGCCCCGAACGCTCCTTCCCTGTACCCTATCATGCTCCACCAGCCCGGGGTACCTGTTCCACACCTCCCCAACCCCCACCCCCACTCCCCACTCCCCACTGCTTCTTGCAAAGAGACTTACTCGAGTGTAACTTCTGGGTCAGCTTTCTGGGCACCTATAACCACAAAGAAACCCCCTTTCTTAGGCTCTTCAGCAGCGCCTGCACCCCAGCCTCATCACACAGGGGTGACATCCCCCGCCAGCCCAGGCTAAAAGCCTGACGGGTCATCAGCCGATAAAAGTGCCCCTGGATCCTCTGCTTTCTGCCTCACGACTGAGCGCAGAAGGTCTGCTTTGTGCCATATGATGCTACTTAATGAAATTCCAGAGCCCGGTTTTTAAAACAAACCAAAACAAGTTTTCATAATAAAAGAAACAAGTGTCAGAAATAACTGAAGATGTTCATTCCCCCCGCAGCGATAAATCAAAAGATATTGTTCTGGGTTAAAAGGGGCGGGTGGCATCGGATTTGACATTGTGCAGGTCGGAGAATGTTTACAATGTAATTTATGTTCCTCTCCACAATATAGGCTCCATGAATATTCATGAGCTCTCCCCACTGCTCTGTTCACACAGATCCGCCCTTGGAAGAACAATTTCAGCAGAGTGGTCTTACCGGACTCCAGAGCGGACTCAGACCCCTGGCCCCACCTAAGACCCCCTGGCTGTGCTCACGGTGGCTGTCACTGGCAGCCCCGTTTTCTTAAAGGGGCGCCCGTCTGGGGAGGCGCTATGCCCCACAGACACCTCGGGCTTTGCTCGACGTATTACTGGGCAAAGGTTCTGAGCTTTGTCTGCTTAGAGGAGCTAGCTCTCCAGCTAGAGACTCCTGCCAGTCCTGTTCTTCTGGTATTGGCCCACCAGTTTCTCCCCTCTCCTCCCCAAACCCGTGATGGCGAAGGGGAGCAACCTACGGGCACAGCCCCCCCAGTGTGCTCCCCAGAGGGCCGGTCACCAGGAAGCCTGCAGTGCTGGGGGAGGGGATGCCCGAGCACCAGCTGATTGATGAATAGCTCGCGGCTATTTATTTCTAGTTTAATTGCACTGTGGTTAGAGAACATCACATTTCAACTCTTTAAAATTTGTTGGGATTTGTTTTATGCCCAGAAGATGATCTTTTTAGTAAGTGCTCGTTGGATGGAATCTCCTATAAATTTCACTTCAGGCAATTTGGTGGATGTGTTCTACACACGACCCAACTTTGGCATTTACTGGCTCAATTACTGAGAGGGGAGAGTTGATTTGCCTCGTTCTTTCGTTAGGTGACAGGCTGTTTTTTTTTTTTTAATTTTTGAAATAAAAATTTTAGTTTGCAATTTGCAGCATCTAATTCTTTCAGAGATGACAGCAAAGTCTGAGCACTACAGGGCAGCTCTGCCTCACCTCTCCAGATACCTTTCCCTGCGGCTTCCCTTCCCCTCACCTGTCAGGTGAGACTTATCACCGCTGTCAAGTTCGGGTGTCTCCCTTTCCTGGGGGCAGCGCCCCGCCTGGCTACAGCCGCTCCTTTGCCAAGGTCACCTCCTGGCCAGGTTCCAGGATCTGCTTCCGGAGGCCCGTCCCTGCAGACCCTGCCCTGGGCAACCCCCTGGACAACGCGGTTCTCCTGGGGTGATACTGGCTGACTTAATTCCCCAACAAAGGACTTACTGGAGCCCCAACAAAGAACTTACTTTCTGGAGGGACGGACGGACTAAGCCACGCACCCAGCCTGAGGACCCGACGCTGCGGTAACCCAGCTCACACCAGCTGGGCGGCACCGGGGGCTGCCTGGGGCCAAGGGGGGCTCACAGTCTCCCCGAGTCCGGCTGCCGCAGCCCAGGGCAGCAACACCGACCCGGAGTCCCACGCGGCCCCGCCGGGCCCCGCCCTGGGGCGCGCCGCCGAAGCGCACCGGCCAGTCAGGACCGGCTTTGCGCGGGACCCTGCGGCGCGAGGCTCGGGTGGGCCTGGCTTCCCCACCCGGCATCCGGTGGTTTTCTCCGGCAGCACGTCTGACCCCTGCTGGACGGGAGACTCAGGCTGACCAGCACTAGGGAACATTCGGCCCACGGCCCGGCACTGCAGGCAGAAGAGATGGGTGAACCTGCGGCCACAGACAGGGAAACAAAAAGCCCTGGGGGGCCCTGGGACCCATCACCAAGCAGACGAACGCTGGCTTCCGAGTGCGGCCCAACCCACCCCGGCCTATTTCCAGCCCGTCCGGCTTCTCTGCCATTCCCTCTGGCAGCGCTCACTCCCGCCGCCTGCAGGCTGCAGCCTCCCTACTGGGGTGGCTGCTTGCTAGAAGCAAACCCCAGACCTGTAACGGGGCTCCCGCGGCTCAGGCTCTGCGGCTTGAAGCTCTGACAAACCGCAACGTCACAGAGCCGAGAGCAAGTCGCCCGCTGGGCGTGAGAAGCTCACCAGAGCCTCAAGGAGCCCCTCACCCAGTTTGGTGCTAGAACCCACCCCCACTTCGGAGCCGTAAAACTGGAACTCGAACTGAGATTCCATAACACTCACCCTTTGCAAGTGTGTGCTTCGACTTCTAGTACATTCACAGAGGTGTGCAACCATCACCACGATCTAATTGCAGAATATTCTCATCACCCCGGATGAGCCCAGCGCCCACGAACACTCACACCTGACCACCGCATTCGTTGTCCAGTCTAAGGCCACCAGCAGCTGTTGATGCTTTAGGGAACTATGCACTGGCCTACTCCGGACTCTGGGTGGCCCGGACGTACCGTGTGCGGTCTTCCCGCCGGGCTGGTCACTCGGGTGTTTTCAAGGCGCACTCCTCCTGGGTAAGGACCGCTTTCATTTTTATGGCTGGCTGGGACTCCACTTACGGATGGCGGCATTTTGTTGAGCCATTTGCCCAAGGATGGGCTGGCTATTTTCACTCCTTGCTCACGAGGCATCGTCAGAGCCAAGCAGGTGCCTGTGTTTTCACTAAACACCTCATAGGAAGCCACAGGTGCCATTTACAGCCCTGGAGCTTGAGAGATTTTGTCCGAATCCTCTCAAGCGCGCTGTGAGGCGCGTCTCATCACCACCACCTCAGAGAAGGGGGCGCGGACCAGACAAGTGTGGCGACCGACCCAAGGCCTGTGGCCAGCCGGCTGCCAGGTTCCAGACTCACCCCTGCCTCTCACTAGCATCCTCCGTGACACCATCTTCTCTTAAAAACTGCAGCACGCTGCTTTATTTACAATTGGAAAAACATGGAAGCAGCCCAAATGCCCAAAAGCAGATGACTGGATTAAAAAGATGTGGTGCATAGACACAATGGAATATTACTCAGCAACCAAAAAAGAGAAACACATGTCTTTTGCAGCAACTTGAATGGAGCTGGAAA